AATAGACAACCATGTATATATATATATATATATATATATATATATATATATATATATATATATATATATATATATAAAAAAAAGAAAGAACAGTAAGATATAAAATCCGGTGTTCTTATAGATATTTTTATTTTTACAAAATAGTGCTCAATGTAAATTTACAGAGCATTAATATTATAAATTAATTGATTTAAAATATGTTTTTTTTAAAAAGTTACTCCAAAATTCGCTTGAAGATGAAATGGAACTAATGTTTTTAATTTAATTGCAAAATTAAATTCGGGGTTTTTAGCTTCTATTTTTGAAACATGGTTGGAACTGTGTAGCAAAAAAAAACATAATTTAAATCAATTAATTCATATATATATATATATATATATATATATATATATATATATATATATATATAAAAATAAAACAGACCACTTTAAGGTTCCATGTAATAAATTATTTCACCACAGCCCTTTTAAAGGACTGCGGATCATCACTTTACTTCGAAACAAAAAATGAAAAGAAAATTTACACATTTTTGACGGGCCGTATTAAACATATGTAAATTAACGAAGTGAGGAAGTGAGGGGGGAGAAAGAAGGCATGCTAACTCACTCATGTCTTCACGATGTTTGGGCGATTAGCTTTGATTTTTCTGTCTGTGTGTATTGTAAAGTCCCTTAAAATTGTTACAGGTCTTATCTCTGTTCCCAGGTCTGGGTGATGTTCATATCAGTTTCTTGCAGTTTCCTGCCCGTAAAAGTGGCATATTTTCCAGTGCAGATATTGGCCAACTCTATCATACCGAATTTTATATTCAGTAGGTGCTAACCTTTTACAAGATGGCTAATTGTTTCTGGATATTTATCACTGAATCTGCATTTGGGTTCAACACAATTTTTCAGTATGTGTGCTTAGTAATTTCTAGTTAGCAATCGTTGATACTGTTTAGTAAGAATAAAACCTTCGGTTTCAGGTTTTAGCCCTGCACTACGTAACTACTGATGGGTACGGGGTTTTATCCAAATCAGCTTGTTTGGTAAGTTTGTCTTGACATCGTTTCTACATTTGGTACATTACATTTGTTTTTTTGTTTTGTTTTGTTTTTTGTTTTTTGCCGCTGCAGTAGTTGTATTATGGTTTATTTGCACTTCTTTAATCACTTGAAATTCCATTTTGAAATAGTTGTCTTACTGAATAAAATTTCTTTCATGTCCTTTGACACAAATCATCATTCAGTTTTCTATAGTTTCCAGGTATCTTTGAAGACCAATTGTTGCGGTTTTGTAAGACAGTTCTAGTTGAACTAATCCTCTGCCTCCCTCGGGTCTGGGCACATACAGATGATCAATATCAGTCTTAGAATGATGCATGCGGTGGCAAGTGAGAAGTTTTCTCGTTTTAACATTCATTCGCTTAATGCCATGTATGGTCCAAATTAAGGATGTTGGAACTGTATTGCACAACAGGGACAGCCAAAATGTTTATGGCTAATATTCTGTTTTGTGAATTCAACTCGGTATTTAACACCAGACGCACGCGACTGTAGTATTCTTTTCTTACTTTCTACTTCATTTGGATGTGCTGCATTCCATTTCCTTCGCTGACTGCTAGGTAGTTATAGGTTTCATCTTGTTCCCTAATTTTTATGACAAAATCTAATTATTATTATTATTATTATTATTATTATTATTAGTAGTAGTAGTAGTAGTAGTAGTAGTGAATAAAATGTTTACAATATTTATCACCGACCGACTATATTGTGGTTCACCATGGTCAGATAAGAATGTTTTATTATTGATAGATCATTTACTTATTGATAATTATTAAATGCTCTAACTAAATTTAAAATATTTTCTCTACTGTTAATTCCGAGAAACCGTTACAATAACTCAAAACTTAAAATATTCGATTAAATATTAAAATATATAAATACTTGTGCACCAGTCTAAAGTTGTTTTGTAAATACTATAGAAAACAGAAAATTCAAAAAGTACGAGTTATCTACTGAATGACTAAAAATGTTTAATTATTAGATTGAAATTATTATGACATGAGAAAAAAGTCATTTTTTTTAATCATTTCGTAAAAGAACATGAAGAAGACAGAAGATAACGAAAGACATTTAAACTTTTCAAGATCAAAGCAATAAACCTGACGAGAAGTGCTGTTAACATCTTAATGAAAACTCTAGCAGTAAAGGATAACAGAACAACAGGATACAATAGCTTGCAGTAAATTTCTTATATTATATCAGGGAAGGGGATAGAATACTTTTATTTTCAGAAATAATGAGTTTCAATAATGTCAGTAAAAGGGAATTAATCAAGAGGGTTCTGTAAGGATCATCTCCCTTTTACTGTAAATCCACGATTTGTTTATTTTAAATCGTATCTTTGTTTAAGATGAAAAAGCTACTCAGTTTTCTTTCAGAAACCGGTTTGGTGAATATATCTGCTGTGTTTTCTTGTGAAGGATTATACAATAATTTGATAACTCTTCTTCTGATAAAATAATAATTTCTGTCTATATGTTTTGACCTCTGGTGTGTAACTGGGTTTTTAATCAGAGCGCTTTGGTTATCCATATATATAGTCACAGAATTTTCACTTTCATCCATATCATTGCCTTTCTTATCATTTAGTAATTGGCAGAGGAATATTGTATGTTTTATGGCTTCTGCTAACGCCATGGATTCGTCTTCACGTTGACAGTGCTACAGTTTGTTGTTTTCTACTTTTCTACTTTTGTTCATTCTCCGATAATTGAAAACAGTATGCAGATATACCATTCCAAGTCTTCGGATGATCCCCAATCAGCATCATAAAATCCGATTAAACTTAATAGAGAATCAGATTTTTGAAATCTTAAATTATAATCCATTGCTCCTTTGAGATAGCTTACTGTATACTTAACCATGGCCATGGTTTGACATAGGTTGTAATAATTTGGTAACAGTATAGTACAGGTCTAGTCTTGTACATGTCATCAAATACTGACAACAATTTCCCTATACAATTTTGGGTTTGTCAATTAGATGGAATCTTCATCTTGGATTTTGGTGGCATTAATTCCATATAGTTTTGTGTCTAGTTTACAATCCGTCATATTGAATTCTTGAAGTACTCTTTTTTATATAGCTCATCTGATTCATTTTAACATAGCCATCTCTCCATTTCAGTCCAATGCCTAGGGATCATGACAGTATCCCCAAATGTCTCATTTTAAATATACTGCACAGTAAACTCTTGATTTTATTGAGTATGACTTGTTGTCAACCCAAATAATAATAGTTTAAGTTGATTTATTTCTACACGCATGTGTTAACCAAGGATTGTTTAAAGTGTTCGTCTATGAGATATTTTGTATAGCCTGTTTCAATCTACATAAAGATTTTTTAGCTTGTAAACGAGGGATTCACCATTTTCTTGGTATATGTTTGTAACCTTCTGGTTATTTCAGACGGATTTCGCAGTCAATAGTTGCATTCAGGTAAGTGGTCTTTACATCCATCTGATAGACAATGAGGATCCTTTTCCATAGCAAGTTGTATGAACACGGGTAGAGATGTAATACGTGCTGTAGGTGAGAATGTTTCGTGATACTCAATTCCAGATATTTGAGAATAACCTTTCGTCACATGTTTCTCTTCTCCGTTTGCATCTAATTTGACAGCGTATACCCATTTTTCTAGCGGCAGACTTTGTTCTAGCCACATTTTAAAAATTTATAGAAAAGTACATACATAAAAAGTACATATGTGTGTGTGTGTGTATGTATTAATGCTGACAAGAACGCCGAATATATGATATAAGTTCATTTCATTTTATTTTTTGTTGAGAAAGGGCATAGGCATGTCATAAAATAAGTTTAATACATTTTCTCTTTGTTTGGTGTGTGGGAAGCGGCAGGGGGTCTTAATAATATTTATCGGACACTTCTTAACACTTCGAAATAAAGGAACAGAAGTAAAGATAATATGTTCAGTTGAGTTCGATTTAGGCGGGTCCTTTATAAATTTGGTTGTCAGTTTACGAGTCAAACTTTGATAGCAGTCGTCACCATGTTGGCAGCTGTTAGAAGTGTGGTTATTTGGGAAAAATGTTGCGATGCCCTCAAAATAGCCGCTTAATTCTTACGGAACTCGCACGGGTTGGTTTCTGGCTTTCTCCTGTACTGTTGTCTGTCGACTGTCTCTTTGCACTAACTTTTGAAAGGGCACGAAGCTTGATTTCGGCTAATATCAAAAGTCTCTTTGTTCTTTTGATTGGCTAAAAATTCATTTATTTATTTGCCGCTGTTCCTTTCTGGTTTTTATCGCAGGTCATCTCTTATTTTGGTGGAACTACTCTTATTTTAATAGATTTCTAGTCACAATAATTACACCCTAGGCTAGTAAACTTCCGTTTTATAGCAGTTGTTTATATATATATATATATATATATATATATATATATATATATATATATATATATACACACACACACACACAGAGGGAGTTGGGTGAAAAGTAATATTCTCTGGACAAGCATGGGAAGACATGGACATTCAATATTGTTATTTTTATCTTTATTTATTTAGATAGAAATTACAAATTAGTCAACTGAAATAAACCACCTCACGCTAAAAAATTCCTCCTTTGATATAATTTGCTAACGGATTCTATAGAATAAGATTATAGTATTAATATTTGTAATCATATATTTCATTTAAATGAAACGTCAATAAATTCGTTCACGGTCATTGCTTAAATAATTTCTATCTATTTAGAAACAGAAAATTGCTTCATATCTGATTGAAAGATCTAAAGTACACGAACTTGATTTTCTGCCATGAGAAAAATTATTTTTTAAATATAAATTTTAAACTCATGATAAAACAAAAGAAAAGCAAGAAATCAAAGTCGACCAAAAAAAAAAAATATCTACTCGACTAAGAAAATAGTTTTTTACTCCTTACATTTGATTTTCTTTAGCATTTTTTTATTTTCTTTATATCTCTTTTTCCAGTTCGAAAATGCAGAAAGCTGTCATTGTATTCGCAGCTCTGACTCTTTTCTCCACCGCATTTGTGACAGACGTTTTTGCTTCTCAAGAAGAAATCTCAGTAAGTACGCAAGTTTAGATTAGCACAAATGTGTGTAATCATTGTCGGTTAAAAAATAAATTACTGCTGTCACTAACAGCGCTAATATATTTTGTTTATGATACACTCTAATCCCAAATTTGGTTATTTTCTGGTACTGTATTGTCACAATATATATATATATATATATATATAAATATATATATATATATATATATATATATATATATATATATAAATAAAAAGAAAGAATATTTGGTTGGTTGATATAAAATCCTGGGGTGATTCTTAAAGATATTTTTTTTAATTTTGGTTTTACAAAATAGTGGGGGATCGTCGTCGTGATCTCACGCAAAACATAGAATGTTACACCCACTGAGGTACGCAGACACACATTACACAGTGGACAGTATGAGACTTGACATATTAATGTGTGCTGTTGTTATATAACGCATTTGGTGATTGAAATTCAAAGATGGGATTATTTCTCGTAAATTTATCAACAATCAGACCATTTTTCTATTCTTTCGCAGAATAATATTTTCGCATCACAGATATACATGTGTGGGGTTTAAAAAAATTATGATAGATTTTATTTATTTTGCAAATTTTTAAGCCGGATTTGTTATTTTTATTAGTTGATTGTTTTGATGACTTTTATATGTAACTAGTAGAGAAATTGCACTTCGTAATTTATTGGTTTTTATTTGGTGGTATTAAATATGCTAGATACAGAAGAAAATTTATCTTATTTTCATGAAAAAAGTCTGAATCGAAGAAACTATAAGTGATTTAATATGAAATTAAGAAAATTATCTTAATAAAATTGAATGAACTGAAAAATATATCTTATTTTCATTAAAAAAAAATCTATGGAAGGAAATGTAAATTTATAAAAATAGTTTATTTATATCATAAAAAAGTAGGGGAAGAAATATATTTTATTTTCATAAAAAGTCTGAATCCGAAGAAAATTTGATTTTCATAAAAAGTCTGAATCAAAAGAAAAGTTTATTTTGGATGTCGCTCATTTTGATTTTCATAACAAAAAAAAAAAAAAAAAAAAAAAATGTAATATTTTTAAAATCTGAATCGAAGAAAAATATACAAAATTTTTTAAACTTAATGTATCTTAATTTTTCATAAAAAATGAATCAATTATCTTGGATTCTGAATCCGAAGAAATATCTTTTTGATTTTCATTCAAAATCGAAGAAAATGTATCTTATTTTTAACTGAATGTTTTATTTTTAAAAGTCTGAAAAAGAATATTTTAAAATAAAAATTAAAATATATCTTATTTTAATAAAAAATATTTCATAAAAATCGAAGAAAATATAAATAAAAAGGATTTAAAAAAAAATCTTATTTTTAAAAAAAAAGATGACGTTGAAAATTTTTTACTGTTAAAAATTTTTTTTTTTTTTTTTTTTAAAAAATTGAATCCGAAGAAAACGACATTTCCATTCAAATATTTATTTTCAGTCTGTGAAAAAAATTCATGAAAAATCCTTACCAAAATTCAAATAATTTTATAAAAAATACAATGATACTTTTATAGGAAAGTCTAGAAACCCTGTGTTCATAAAAAATTTGAAGAAGAATATCTTATTTTCATAAAAATGGAAACGTGATTTTTAGTCTGTGTATTTTTTAAAAGTCTGAATCCGAAGAAAATATATCTTATTTTCATAAAAAGTCTGAAGAAAATTTTGTTGTTTTTCATAAAATCTTTGAAGAAAAAAATAGAACTAATATATCTTATTTTTAAAAAATCTTATTTGAATAAAAAAAAAAATAAAATTAGGGGTCTTCCGAAGAAAATGTATCTTATTTTCATAAAAATTTTGAATCGAAGAAAAACATAAAAAAGTCTGAATTGAAATATTTAAAAAATATTTAAAAAAATAATCCGAATATTTTAAATCAATTAATCCGAAGAAAATATTCTTATTTATATATATAGGTGATTTTCATAAAAATGAAAAATGTGTGTATATAAATTCTGAATAAATATATATATATATATAAAAAATTCTGAATCAAGAAGAAATATTTTTTATAAATTATATGCGCGGTATTTTATTAGAAAGCGCCAAAACAATATCAGAGATGAAGAAGAAAATTTATATTATTTTGGGATTGAAAAATATCTTATTTTTTGAGTTCGGCTGAATCCTGTAGCTCATTTTCACGCTTTTGCGATCGTCAGACAAACTGATTATTTTTTTTTTTAATTTTCTTATTTTAATAAGATTGAATCCGAAGAAATTGGTTATTTTTCATGGAAGTGGGGGATCTGAATAAAAAACTGTCGTCGTGATTTCATAAAAACATAGATGCATTTCCGTGAAAAAAAGACTGAATACGCAGAATCTGAACATATTTTACACAGTGGACAGTATGAGACTTGACATATGTATGTATATGATATTTTTTTGTCTGAATGAATATACGCATTTATTTTCATGAAGTCTGAAAAAGATGGGATGTGTAGCGAAAATTTTCGTAAATGTATACATAAATCAACAATCAGACCATTTTCTATTCTTTCGCTGAATAATATTTCCTCGCATAAAATAGATATACATGTGGTGGGGTTTTATTTTGAAAAATTATGATAGATAAAATTTGCTATTATTTTAATTTTTAAATGCCGGATTTGTTATTAATTTAAATATGGTTATTTTTGATTGTTTTTTGATGATCTTATTTTCGTAAATATGTAACTGAATCCGAAGAAAAATTGCACTTCGTAATCCTTATTGGTTTTTATTTGGTGGTATTAAATTTTCTAAGAGGAGTACGAATAAAAAAAATTTATCTTATTTTCTGAATGAAAAAAAAAGTCTGAATCGAAGAAACTATAAGTGATTTGGAAAAAAAGTCTGAATATTAAGAAAATATATCTTATTTTCATAAAAAGGTCTGAATCCGAAGAAAATATATCTTATTTTCATTAAAAAAATCTGAATCCGAAGGAAATGTAACTTATTTCCATAAAAATAGTATGAATTCGAAGAAAATATATATTATTTTCATAAAAAAAGTTTGAATCCGAAGAAAATATATCTTATTTTCATAAAAAAGTCTGAATCCGAAGAAATTGCATTTGATTTTCATAAAAAAGTCTGAATCAGAAGAAAATGTATATTATTTTCATAAAAAGGACTGAATCCGTAGAAAATATATCTTATTTTCATAAAAAAAAGTCTGAATCCGAAGAAAATGTAGCTCATTTTCATAAAACAAGTCTGAATCCGAAGAAATTGTATTTGATTTTCATAACAAGGTCTGAATCCGAAGAGACTGTACCTTATTTTCATAAAAAAAAAAAGGTTGATTCGAAGAAATATATAGCTTATTTTCATGAAAAGAAGGATTTTTCTGAATCCGAAGAAAATGTATCATATTTTCATAAAAAATCTGAATCCGAAGAAAATATATCTTATTTTCTGAAAAAAAAATCTGATTCCGAAGTAAATACGAAGAAATATCTTATTTTCATAAAAAAGTCTGAATCGAAGAAAAATATCTTATTTTCATAAAAAAGTCTGAATCTGAAGAAAATGTATCTTGTTTTCATGAAAAGTCTGAATCCGAAGAAAATGTACCTTATTTTCATAAAAAAGTCTGAATCCGAAGAAATTATATTTGATTTTCAAAAAAAAAATCTGAATCGAAAGAAAAATGTAACTTATTTTAATAAAGAAGGCTGGATCCGAAGAAAATGTATATTATTTTCATAAAAAAGTCTGAATCCGAAGAAAATATAACTTATTTTCATAAAAAAAAGGCTGAATCCGAAGAAACTGTAGGTGATTTTCATAAAAAAAGTCTGAATCCGATGAAAATGTAGATTATTTTAATAAATAAGGCTGAATCCGAAGAAAATGTATATTACTTTCATAAAAAAAGTCTGAATCCGAAGAAAATATATCTTATTTTGATAAAAAAAGTCTGAATCCGAAGAAAATGTAGCTCATTTTCATAAAAAAAGTCTGAATGCGAAGAAATTGTATTTGATTTTCATAAAAAAAGTCTGAATCCGAAGAAAATGTAATTTATTTTGATAAAAAAGGCTGAATCCGAAGAAAATGTAGCTTATATTCATAAAGAAGGCTGAATCCGAAGAAAATGTATCTTATTTTTATAAAAAAAGTCTGAATCCGAAGAAAATATATCTTATTTTCATAAAATAATCTGAATCCGAAGAAAATATATCTTATTTTCATATAAAAATTGTGAATCCGAAGAAACTGTAGGTGATTTTCATAAAAAAAGTCTGAATCCGAAGAAAATGTAGCTCATTATAATAAAAAAAGTCTGAATCCGAAGAAATTGTATTGGATTTTCATAAAAAAAGTCTGAATCCGAAGAGAATATATCTTATTTTCATAAAAAAATTCTGAATCCGAAGAAACTGTTGGTGATTTTCATGAAAAAAGTCTGAATCCGAAGAAAATGTAGTTTATTTTCATGAAAAAAAGTCTGAATCCGAAGAAAATATATCTTATTTTCATAAAAAAAGTCTGAATCCGAAGAAAAGTTTTCTTATTTTCATAAAAAAAGTCTGAATCCGAAGAAAATTTATCTTATTTTCATGAAAAAAAAGTCTGAATCCGAAGAAAATATAAGAGATTTGGATAAAAAAAGTCTGAATCCGAAGAACATATATCTTATTTTCATAAAAAAAATCTGAATCCGAAGAAAATATATCTTATTTTCACTAAAAAAAGTCTGAATCCGAAGGAAATGTAACTTATTTCCATAAAAATAGTATGAATTCGAAGAAAATATATATTATTTTCATAAAAAAAGTCTTAAACCGAAGAAAAGGTATCTTATTTTCATAAAAATTCTGAATCCGAAGAAACTGTACCTGATTTTCATAAAAAAAAGTCTGAATCCGAAGAAAATATATCTTATTTTCATAAAAAAAGTCTCAATCAAAAGAAAAATATATCTTATTTTCAAAAAAAATTCTGAATCTGAAGAAAATGTATCTTGTTTTCATAAAA